GCTCAGTGCCCCTGAAAAGTGCAAGGCCCTGAGTTTGATTCCTGGTACCAAAAAAAAAAAAAAAATCTTTGGATATATAGAACCTAGGTATTTTATTGTCTGAGAATTTAGGAAGATTATTAGGGTAATTTCTAAGGATTTTTCTCATACCTCATCCTTTAAGTTATTTATATCATTCATTTTTTTCACATCAATACTACATTTTATTTGAAAATTCATTGTTCATATTCAGCCAAAATTTCATCAAAAACAGCAGTTCCGAATGATTTCCAGTTTATACCATGAGATCCTTTGGTAGTGCTTGGTATTTTCTACTGCCAGGTAATTAAAGTCTTCTTCTTTTATTTTCAAAATAGTTGACTCTACCCTAGTCTTCACGTTCAATTTTTTCATCCTTTGCACGTATTTGATTTCATGGATCAATGAGGTGACCTTACATATTGTTGGGCTTAGTGTATTCCATGAAGAAGGAAAAATTTGTAAATATTTAGGTTCTGATTTCATGATGGTCTCCATGGTTTTAGAATCGTCCCATCCCTGGGTCTTGTATGGATTTAATGACAGTTTGCAGTGTGGTTTAATAGTAAGTGTAGACAGTACATGTTTTGTAATCTTTTTAATGTTTGGCTTCCTATTTTTCCCTCTTAGTCACTTCACATTTAGAAGGTGCACCTTGTATTTGCAGTCATTCTTGCATAATTGAACAGGTGGAGATTAGTTCATTGTTAATAAAATCAAGGATCAGGAAACTTTTTTAAAAAGTACCTTACTACTTCTTTGGAAATTACAGCATTGTAATTTTGCCTACTTTAGAAATAAGTGAGTTTTGAAATACTAACTAAATGTAGACTTGGGTTCTAGGCGTATGAGTAGGATAAGTCATTATACCTTTCAGAATCGCTGGGTGTAGTGGCTCACACCTGTGATCTCAGCACTTGGGAGGCTGAGACTGGAGGGTTGCCATAAGTTCAAGGCCAGCCTGGGCTACAAGTGAGTTCAAGGCCAGTGTGGTCTCAGAAAACCAAAACAAACCGAAGAACCTTTCAAAGTCTTATTTTCTTATCAAAGAAATGATAGTTGTGGGGGTGGGCTTGTAGGACAGTACTGGAGTGATTGTCTACCATTCTCGAAGCCCTGGTTTTGTTCCCCGCCACAGCAGAAAGAAAAGAAACAGAGGAAAAGATAATTATCATTGGTTATTACTGAGTTGAGTGAGAGTCAGACCAGTCTGATTTGTTTTTGAAAACCATGAAGCACTATATATTAGAATAAGGTGGTGGCAGTGTTACCAAATAAATTCTTAAACCTATGCAATATATTTATGAAATAGCTTATTATAGGTAGGATTTTTGTTTTGTCTACCTCTTTTATAATAAGTGCTATGTAAATTAGCTTTCCTTTTTTAATGTAGAGGTTATGTATTTCATTATACCTCTTATTTAGACATGTCATCTTTCATTAACTAGATGTTTATTTTTAAATAGTAAATTGAAAGTTTATTTACATATTTACTACTTTAGATTTCCTATATAAGATAAGCAGCCAGTGGAGAAAGGATTCATAGCAGGTTTTTACTGTGTTTGGTGGCCATTTCACATTGGGCCTTCCAATGACTGAGATGCTGCCTTTGAAATATCTTTACCACATCTCACAATTTAAGAGATTTTCTGTTTTGTGTATACAAGGTTTGTCCAATGAGTAAGTCTCCTTATGTGGATCCACATAAATCGGGGCATGAAATCTGGGAAGAATTTTCGATGAGTTTCACACCAGCAGTGAAAGAAGTGGTGGAATTTGCAAAGCGTATTCCTGGGTTCAGGGATCTCTCTCAGCACGACCAGGTCAACCTCTTAAAGGCTGGGACTTTTGAGGTAGGTTTTATTTATCCTGCATATTGATGTAGGACATGTAGTCTTATTTTCTGTGATGTTTTTCATTCTTTTCTGAGTATTTTGTTTAGCATCTGGAACTAAAAAAAAAAAAATCTTAAGATTTCAGAAGAGAGTAGGACTTGAAATATAGGTACTCTGTAATCCCCAGCATATGAAATACACATCCATTGTTTTTCTTTTTGGTACCGGGCATCAAACTCGGAACCTTGTGCTTGCGAGGCAGGCGGCAGCACCACTGAGCTAAATCCCCGGCCCTACATTCATTGCTTTTAGGTATAAATGTGTTGGTTTCTGCATAGTGTTAGACACCTGCAGAAGCCTGGTATTTACTGTGTTCAGTAGAGAATAAGATGGGAGAATAGAAAATATTGGAATTTATCAGATATCTCTAGTGCCACTTCAGGTCCTTTCAGCCTTGCCAGGTTTTGGGATCTTTGACTCCTTACTCTCCTCCAACTTCTCTCGCTGGGGCTGTATTTTGCCTGGGCTCTGGGCAGCCACTGCTGCCATCTTGGGTGGGACCTGTCAGCCACTACTTTTGATGACTTCCTGTGTACCCCAGGGGTTTCCTTTTGCTGCTGAGGCTGGAGACACTTTGGGTTCTGGTTGGAGCTTACTTTAGTGTAACTGAAACTTGGGGGGGATGTGAGAAGTTTATGATGGGCCAGATTTTTGAACCTGAGCCAGGGCTGCATTTTCATTTCCCCCTGGGTGGTCCCACAAGACGTGCTATCAGTGCTTTTCGTATTGAGCGGTGGCCTGAGTAACAATACCTCCTAGTACAGTGATGATGAACCTTTTAGAGCTTTCCGTGATAACAAAAGCTGGCTGTGGTACTTGTGCCGTAGGTTTGCTACCACTGCCCTAGTGTTTGCTTGCTCTCTCCTCCCGCCTCATTTCCTTCACACCTGTTTTCATGTGTGCCGCTGCATAACTCATATAGAAGCTTTTGCCTCAGGCTCTGTTTTCTGGAGCACCTGAAGTAGAAGAAAGAACAATACTCAAATAAAACAGCTATGGAATAATTCAAAATCAAAATTTACAGGTTAGACTTTTCAGATTGAAGAAAAACATTACAGTTAAGATTTAAGGCTGGAAGGGAAGTCAGTGGTCAAGTTCAGTTTACTTATTGTGAGAGAGGTAACTATGAACTACTGAGGTGAAGATACTTTTTCTTGTGTTACCTGTAAATTCATAACACACCTGGAATTAGAACACAACCGCTATACTCGAGAGTGCATTCTTTCTACCTTGTGATTTGTCTTGTCATTGCTGTGTCTTAAGGCTAGCACCATTCAATTTTCATAGCAGGCTCACTTTTTTTTTTTAACAAATCTTTGGGAATGTTGCAAAAGGAAGGTGTTCCTTTGACTATAGAAATGTAGAATATCGTTGTTATCAGTTAGTGTAATGCAGGCTGTGCTGTAGATAAGTAAATTTTTTTGCGGGGGTACTGGGGATCAAACTCAGGATTTTGTGCTTGCTGGGCAGGCGCTGTGCTGCTGAGCTACATCCCCAAGCCCCACGTAATGTAATTTTTAACCGACTGGATTTTCATAGTAATTACAACTTGGTGCTTAGAGCACTTTCATTATTTAGTTTTTTTGTTTTTTGTTTTTTGTTTTTTTTTTTGATACCAGGATTGAACTCGGGTCCTTGTGCTTGCAAGGGAGGCGCTGGAACCACTGAGCCAAATCCCCAGCCCGAGAGTACTTTCATTGTGATAGTGGTCTTTGTGTGCAGTCTCTGAGTTACATAGTTTGCTGAAGTAATCGAATTAAGAGTTCATTTGTGTTTGCTTTGACTACATTTGGTGTTTGGATGTTTCCAGGTGTTGCTGCCTTGGAATATTGTTCTTTTTACTTGGAGCACAGAGACCATGTGATATGTATGGTAATCTAAAGAGTTTAGTGCCTTTGGCCAGGGCCCATTTTTTAAACGTCCTAGCATTACTCCTTGCTTTAATTTTAGCTTTGCATTTCAGAATCTTTGTTAGAGTCTCAGAGTGTCACAGTACTCAAAAATATTTTGCTATTTATAGCTAGATTTTGTTTTTTTGATCCTTACCTTGAAATGTTTGTTTTGGTAGACAAGGTGGTTTTAGGTAAAAATAAACAGTATCTTTTATAACTTTCTCTTGTATTTACGATGTTTCTTAACTGACTTGAATTCTGCGTGATTTCCTTAAATTACTATTGAACTTCTCCAAATACATTTAAATTTTTTTCTTTTTCCAGGTTTTGATGGTACGGTTTGCATCATTATTTGATGCGAAGGAGCGTACGGTCACCTTTTTAAGTGGAAAGAAGTATAGTGTGGATGACTTACACTCAATGGGAGCAGGGGATCTGCTAAACTCTATGTTTGAATTTAGTGAGAAGCTAAATGCTCTCCAGCTGAGTGATGAAGAGATGAGTTTGTTTACAGCTGTTGTCCTGGTATCTGCAGGTAAATAGGATGGTTCAAAATTGTGCCACACTTGGAATATAATTAATTAACTGGGTTCCAGCAGGGTATATGGAGGGAATAAAGCATAACAGAAAATATTAAATTACATGAACATGTTTTTCTCCCCTTTTTAATACTGGGTGTTGAACCTAGGGTGTTTTCCCTGAGCTACATCCCCAGCCTTTTAAAAATTTTAAATTTTGAGGTAGTCTTGGTCCTGCTAAGTCACTACGTTGCCCAGACTTGAACTCTGTTGCATCCTTATTCCTCAGCCTCCCAGACTGCTTAGATCATAGGTGTGTGTCACCATGCCTAGCATTTTTTTAAAATCATGGCAGTATAAATTGAGCTGCAATAGTATTCAGATGATTTTCAAATCTGGTCCTTGCCTTTACTGCTTATCTTTAGCTTTTCATAATTTTTCATGAGTATAAACATTTTGTGGGTTTTTTCTCCAGCATTGTGTATCTCTAAATATGTGGTTCAAATATTAACAAGTTTTAGTCATTTTGTGGGTTACTTGAAAATGTTTAAAAGCATCAACGAAGTATGCTTTGTTGCAAAGATACATGGTTATGTAAACTGAAGTTTTAGTCCAGCTTTGCCGTTGAATTTTCAGTGTGATCTGGCTAATTTTATTCTTTTGGGTCTCAGTTTCCACAGTCTGTTGAAGGAAGGGACTGTACCATGTGAACCTAGTGTGGTGTCAGTCACTGGTCGGAGGAATAACCAAGGCTTTTGAGTCCTTACATTTAATGTTTAAATGAGTCATTGATAGTTTTCTCAAATTTCCCAGCGTTCTTGCATTTATATGGCAGTTATTTATTTATTTTTTTGAGACAGGATCTCGCTATGTAGGTCAGGCTGGACTTGAACTCACTGTGTAACCTAGGTTGGCCTCCAGCTTGAGGCAGTCCTCCTGCCTCAGCCTTCTGAGTGCTGGGATTATAAGCATGTGCCACCACACCTGGCGAGTTATTTTTGAACGAAGTATTTCAATTCAGAGAACATCCATTAAAATGTGAATTGTTACTTCCAGTAGCAAATGGAAAATTGAGGCACTGATTTTCCTAAGGTCACTTAAGTAAGTGCCTTTAAGACATTTGTTGGAAATTTTACAATGTTTTGATGTGACTCTTACGTTTCCCATTTGCGTCCTATTCTGTAAAGGATACTGCTATGTGGTATGAAAGTTGTAAATTTTGGCTTCTGATTATCTGACTAAACTATAATAAATCTTAAAGTGAGCAGGTTTTTTGGTGTAACTTACAGGGTCTTTATATTATGTCAGTGGGATGAATAAAGACTTTTGCCATTTGGAAATATAATTTGTCTTTTCTGATCAGTTCAATGTGGATAACTAAAAATGTGCTTATGACATGGAATGGTATGAGAAAACTATGTCAGTAGGAGATACCTGTTTTCTTAGTAACCTTGTAGTACCTCTCGGATTTTACCTAGTGTTTGCACAGTTTCTGTTTTGCATGCATGTGTTCCCTCTCTCTCTCTCTGTCTCTCTCTGTTTTTTGAGACAGGGTCGCACTGTGTAGTTCAGTCTGGCCTTGAACTCACTATGTAGTTCACATTGGCCTCAAACTCACGGTGATCCTCCTGCCTCAGCCTCCCAGGAGCTGGGATTACAGACGTAAGCCACAACACCTGACTGCGCAGTCTTATATGATAAAGAACTAGTACTGGTTTGAGTTGATATCAGTAATAAATCTGCTTCTGTGAAACCAAAGATAATCGATACTTGTGAAATTTTTTTTATCTGATGAACATGCCTTAGTGCTCAAAGGAGACAAAAAGCATTTAACACACAAGCTTACTCTTTTTTTTGGTGGTTTTTTTTTTTTTAATCTTACTGAGTGTATTAGTACTTTTTAAGTACACATTACAGTTAATTCATCATTGGGATCTTGTACCCTTACATGACAGGTCTTGGTTCTCATTTTTCCCCTATATTGGTAGGATTTTTTATTAATAAATTTTATTTTGTTCCATTACCCTCCGTGACTCCCTCCGCTCCCTATGTATATGAGCTTACTCTTAAAAATGTTGATGTTGTTTGGCGTTTGGGAGGTTACTGAGAAGCCTTGTGGTACCACTGTGCAGTTCTGACTGAGATAAGTAGAAGTTACAGAAAGAAAGATCAGATCATCTGAGAAGGCTTTGTGGAAAGATGGAAGAGAAGCTGTCATTTGAAAGTTGGACTAGTAGGTCTTTCTAGTGTGGAGAAGATGGGCAGATGTGAGAAAGCATGAGAGAGCAGCGAACGGGCTGGTGCCTGGTATGGCTGTGGAGGAGGAGGAAGATGGAAGCCTTGAGAGTTAGGGGAGTATAAATCAGGGGCCAACAGCTATGAGAACTGGGCAGTTAGGGAGTTGGGAATCTGGAAAATTTTAACCAGACTGGTCAGTGAAGGGTCAGTATAACTTCTGACAGGAAAATGATGAGGTGGGAACAGAGCACTGTTTAACATTAGTTCTGCATTTTTATCATGGGTGGGTTAGATAGTTAAGTCACTGGAGCTGGGCAGTTAGGTTTGAGAGGATGTTGAAAGAACATGGGTAAGAGGCAGTGGACCAAACTCTCCTGAAGTTAGGGCAGGTGGGGATGAAGCAGTGTATCCAGAGGTAGTTCAGACAAAGGAGGGTAAGGGTTGGAGGAGCGTGAAGAGTGTGCTGAAGTCTTACTGCTCTCCTTTATATTTTCTACCAGACACATGATTTTTATTTTTATCTACTTTTGGAAATCCTCTTTTTTTCCTGATTGTAAGATTAATACAGGATATTTGGAAATTTAGAAAATATTAAGATGAAATAAATAAAGTAGGCTGGGAATTTAGCTCAGTGGTGCTGCTGCTGCCTTGCAAGTGCAAGGTCCTGAGTTCGATCCTTGGTTTAAACAAAAAAAAAGATGATAGTATCTCTAGAAAAAAAAAATAATATTTTTTGAGGCAAGGTCTTAATTTGTAGTTCAGGTAGGCCTTGAACTCACTGTGTAGCCCAGGCTGCCCTCAAACTTGAGGTGATTCTCCTGCCTCAGCCTCCCAAGTGCTGGGATAACAGGCATGCACTATCAAGCCCAGCCAAAAAAAGATCACTTTTAACACTGGGGGTCCTTATCCATTTATGTATCTATGCATCTCCCCATTAACCTATTTATTGATCTGTGATATATAAAAAAAATACTTGAAATATTAAGTGGAAAAAAATTCACTATAAAATAATTACATGCATTAACATTTTGTTATATCTGTGAAGATGCATGATACATAAACATACACAAACTTTGTCAAATTTGATTTTTTTCCTACTTAAAAATTACTGTTTTCTTTTTTTTTTTTTGTTTTTTTGAGACAGGGTCTCACTATGTAGTTGAGACTGACCTGGAACTCACTATGTAGCCCAGGCTGGTCTCGAATTCACAGCGATCCTTCTACCTCAGCCTCCTGAGTGCTGGGATTATAGGCGTGTGCAACCACACCTGGCAAAAATTACTGTTTTCAAAGTAGTGTCTAGGTATAAAAACAAAATTCAGAACCTACAGAAGACCATAAAGGGAAAACCTTCAGTCAGGCACGGTGGCACATGCCTATTATAATCCCAGCATTCAGGAGGCTGGGGCAGGAGGATCACCATGAGTTCAAGGCCAGCCTGGGCGACATTAGTTCAAGGCCAACTGGAAATACAGGGAGACGCTGTCTCGAACCACCCCACAGATACTCATTTTGTCTCTGTCAATCTTGTTCCTCAATTGATTAGATCTCTAACCTTCTTTCTTGTCTTCTTTTTAATTTTGTTTTTTTTTTTTTGGTACCAGGGTCAAAACTCAGGACCTTGTGCTTGTGAGGCAGGTGCAGCACCACTAAACTAAATCTCCAGCTTTCTTTTTAATTTTCTGATAGTTGATCTGATAGTTGACCCCCTATCTAGAGTACAGTGCTTGTACTTCTTTTTACTTAGTAGATATTAATTTAAATAAAAGTATTCACTTTTCCTTCTTACCTTTTTAGGGGGGGCGTGGGTCCAGGGGTTGAACTCGGGTCCTTGTGCTTGCGGGGCGGGCAGCAGAACCACTGAACTGAATCCTGGGCCCTCCTCACTTTTGAAAATATTTTTCCTATCAGTTTTGCTATTATGTTTTTTTTAGCTACTTTATTGGCTTTATGATTTTAATATACTCACATTCTATTTTCAGTACTGGGTATTGAACCCAAGGTCTTTGCACTGAGCTATATCCTCAGCCCTTTTAAAGTTTTTAAATTTGAGATGGGGTCTTGCTAAGTCACTAAAGTTGGGCTGGAACTCTGTCTTCCTGCTTCAGCTTCTCAGAGTACTGGGATTACAGGCATGTGCCATCATACTTGGCTTATACTCACTTTTTTTTTTTTATCTTTTCTTTCAGGGTGGCCTTGAGCTCACCCTGTAGAGTAGGCTAGCCTTGAATTAATGGCAATCCTCCTGCCTCAGCCTCCAAAGTGGTAGAGTTACAGGCCTGTGTCATCATGCTCAGTTACGATCTTTCACTTTTACATAATCTCTCTTGGATGCTTTAGATAGAATTTCTGCACTGTACAGGGGCACAGTTTCATTCTTCCTTTGTACCCTGGCCTCTTTTGCTATGCCATGGTCTATATGTAATCAGGAGTTAAAATGTTTATATTTTGTTGTATAACTGTTTTCCACGCTTCAGTTTTCAGTTTTAAGGTTGCATTGTCAAAAGCCATATTTGCATATTCTGATTATGTGCTCAGTAGTGTTTACGTTGGGTTGAAATGCTTAAAAAGAAGTGATGTATGTCTCTAGCCTAAATCACTGCATCCTGAGGGGGAGTGACCATGTATCAAGGAAAAATGGGTTGCTTACTTGAGTTCTGTATCCACCTCTTAGAGCAGTAGCGGCAAACCTAGGGCATGTATACTGCAGAGGGCACTGTGCATCACTGAAGGCTCTAAAAGGCTTGGCAGCACAGGCTTAGAACTAAACAGCATGATACTCTGTTTTCTTTAAAATAGCTCTTTGTTTCTCTTAAAATATAAAGTTTTTTATTTAAAAAAATTTTGGGCTATCAGAAGAAATGCTTGTTAATTTCTAGATCTCATTGTATAATTTTGTCTTCACAGCAGAGCACTCATGTGAGCCAGGGCATGCTGTTTTCATTTATGTGGGTCAGGGTGTTGAGGGACAGAAGGCTTAAGTTACCCAACGTCACATTTATTTATTTATTTATTTTTAAATTTCAGGATCGAACTTGGGACCTTGTGCTTGGGAGGCAGGTGGTGGAACCACCAAGCTAAATATCTGGCCATCCCAAGGTCACATTTTTATTTTCTTTTTTTTTTTTTATTGAGTTTATTGGTACAATCTAGGTATACAATACAATTACATTCATCATTGGGCTTCTGTACCTTTACATAATAGGTCTTAATTCTCATTTTTTCCCCTTGTCCCTGCCCTCCCTTCACCCCCCCTCCCCTCCCCATTTACAAACACTTTATTTTCATTTTTTCAGTTTGTCATATTTTTTTCCTCTCCCTTATTACCTTTCCCCCACCCTTCCCACTTTCGCTACACCTTTAGCCCTTTACTTCCTATTTCACATTATTAATTATCTCATTAGGATCCTGTGTACTATTACAGTTTTTCACACCAAAGAAACTATTTGGTATTTCAGTTAAAGAAATCTCTGTATGAACATTAAAAATAGGGAATCCTAAAATAAAACTAAAAAGGAAAGTAAAAGAGAAAAGGCAATGATGTAACATCAAAATAATCCTTAATTCTGGAGATGAAAATGGTCCCTGAACATATTTAAATTGCTCTCGCTCTTACAGTCTTCCAAGGTCACATTTTTAATAATTGGCTAAGCAGATGTTTGAGAGCCCACTCGTCTGGTATCAAAGCCTTTCCACTATACTGCTTGTGAATAAAAATAGCTTTAGTTGCTAAAGGAGAGAGAAATCTCAATGTGATAGTTGTCTCTGAGATTGGAACGATACTAATAGGATGGCAGGAAGTGCTGCTCCCCAAGTGAGCGCAGCCATTTCCAGTTGAAGATTAGGGTATGAGGTCAAGGCTGCTCTGCATATAAATTCTTTGTGTCTACTGTGGTGTCCTGGAGGAAGTGAATATACATAGAGAAGATGTGGTGAGGAATGCAGAGTGGGAGTGGGGTGAAGACTCGGTTCGGGAAGTAGACGTGGTGTACACGTCAAACCGGAATTACCCCTTCAGTCTGCGTTCAGATGTCGTGGACTCCAGCAGATGTTTGTTTATGATCTAGCCAGATTTGTAATTGAGTTCTATGGCCTTGAAATCACAAAGACCGCAGCTCTGGGAAAATAGAATACAATTTGCATTTTTAAGTATCGATGTATATTTCCCTGAAGTTCTGAGTTGTATAAAGAAGTATAGGTCTTTTAAATGCCAGGTATTCACCAAATGGCCAACTCCTTGGAATACTAGTTCCTGCTGTGTTTTGTTTGAGGAGATCACTGTCGTTCTCTCTCACTTTTTGGTATTGTAAATTACTGATGATGAGATTGTGTTGTTGGGGACGCGAAGGACACCAGACAGCAGCAGTGTAGTTTTGCCGGGGAGTAGAGGGCTGAAGCTCTCACAGGCAAACAGCAGCCAACTCTCACCAACCTCGGTTTTTATTAGGTATATGCATAATACTTTTATCAAACACATTTTTACAGATTATCTTTATCAAAACATTAAAAATATTTTTATAAACATCTGGTTTTAGTTATTCATATACTTTTTAAAAAAAACAAACTTTTAAAAATGTCAGATTGTTTTCAAGACTGTTTATAACCTTAAACTTTTGAGCCGTGGCTCTGTGTGTGGAACCACAACTGTAGTTCTTCCAGTCCGTGTCCCAGTGTAACCTTCTCCTCTTCAAGATTGGAGCAAGTACTTCCTTTTGTGAGATGTGAGCTCCTTAGAGGAAGTTCGATTTGTTTTGTTTACCTTGGATTCCCTAACAGCTAAAATAGTATCCAGCACGCACATTCAGTAAGTGATTGGTGAGTCAATGAATTGGAAGGATGTTTAAAAAGAAAAGCCAAGTAATATCAGAGGTAAGAAGCTGGGCACAGTGTCACACACTTAATAATCCTGGCACTTGGGAGGCTGAGGAGGAGGATTGCTGAGAGTTTGAGCTGTGCCTGAATTATGTGAGTTGAAGGCCAGTCTGAGCTACATAATGAGACTGTCTCAAAAAGGAAAAAGAATCACAGGCAAGAGACTCTTAGAAGCATTATTGAAGGCTTAAGTAGTTTTGCAAAGATAACCTCATAATTGGCCAAAACCAAATGTCAGGAGAAAGAGATCATCTCAGAGTTTCATCAGAAAAATAATGACTTCCTGAACCAATGGTTAATACTCAGTTTCTTTCTTTTTCCATGGTATCTAGTCCATAGTTGTAAGAATTCAAATTTTGCCAAATATGTTTATTTTCATCATTTTTCAGCATTTATGTTTTAGCCCCTTTGCTATTACATTTAGTCCTTGTTCTAATGCTGGTGGTATTCCACATGGCCTTTTAAAGCTACTAGTTACAATGGAAGACCCCCTTGTAAAAAGTGAAAAGACATGAGTGATTGGAGAAATTTGCCTTCTTGCAGATAAGTCTTTTTCTTTTGCAGTCTCCCTAAAGTGTAGGGGGTCATTGCCACTGCATATTTCTTAGGTATTCCCGCCTCCATTTGTAAATGACACTTGAAAAAAGTTCTTGGGCAAAGTACATAAAGCCTGGCTGGTTTTAAGATACTTTTTGCTGGTCTATGCTTGATCACTACTTTATTGTCATTTTATGTGACAAGCTGAGCAAACAGTATAGGAAATGGAAGTGAATGCAGGATAATATAACTAGTGTAATAAAGTTGCATGGCCTGTTATCTATTATTGCATAATAAATTATTTCAAAACTTTATGGCTTAAAATGCAAATGTGTACTACCTCACAGTTTCTGAGGATTGGGAATATGAGTATGATGTATGCCCCTGGCTTGAGGTTTCTTAAGAGATTGTAGTCAAGTGTAGGACAGGGTTGTGGTTGCCTATAAAGCTTGAGTGGTGAACGGTCTGCTTCCAGGCTCATGTGGTTATTGGCAGGACTCAGCTCCTTGAAAGCAGCTGAGCTTAGTGTCTTAGTTGCTTGTGGGCTATTAGCTGGAGACTAGTTCATATCCTGGGACCTTTTCCATAGGACAGCTTGCACCATAGCAGTTGGCTTTGTCTGAGAGAGTGAGAGTACTTAAGATAGAGTAACCTCATCTCAGAAGTGATCTCCTCTCATTTCTGCCTTGTTTTATTCATTAGAAGTAAGGCAGTAACTGGCCCACTCACAAGGAGGGGATTACAGAAGTGCATTAATACCAGAATGAAGGGATCATTGGAGGGCATTTTGGAGGCTGCCTGTCTACCCTGCATGGTAACATGTAAATGGCTATAAAGCGCATGTGTAATACAAATATAATTGTAAACCACATTATTTTATTTTGCTAATAAGAAGCAGTTGAAGTAGCACATGACATCTAATTTTAGAAATCAGAACCTGAAGTTTTGGCCAGGTATGGTGGTACATGCCTGTAAATCCAGCCCTTGGAAGGATCACTGTGAGTTCGAGATCACTGAGTTTGAGGCCAGCTTGCAAAACCCTGTCTCACTTCTAGTTTTTTGTGGATAGAAATACCAAAGCCCTAAAGAATTCTGTTGTATCAAATGTACTGTATACTGTGCTGTATGCGTATTATAACAAATAGCTAGGAGGGCCGGGGATTTAGCTCAGTTGTACTGTGCCTGCCTCACAAGCACAAGGTCCTGAGTTTGATCCCTGATATGGGGGTTGGGGTGGGGAGAAAAAAAAGAAAAAAATAGCTAGGAAATTTGTAATTGAGAGTTAAAAAATACTGTCAGTGCATAAAACCTTGTTTTGAATTTGATGAACAGAAATTGTATTTATATTTATTGTTAATAATATATCTTCTCCATATTTTTCTTATTCCCTATTAGATCGATCTGGGATAGAAAATGCCAACTCTGTGGAGGCTTTGCAGGAAACCCTCATCCGTGCACTAAGGACCTTAATAATGAAAAACCATCCAAACGAGGCCTCTATTTTTACAAAACTACTTCTAAAATTGCCAGATCTTCGATCTTTGAATAACATGCACTCTGAGGAGCTCTTGGCCTTTAAAGTTCACCCTTAAAGGTCTTTGTTTATTTGAACATGAACTGATACTGTAACTGTACATTTTGTGCTAAAATGCTTATTTATATGTGTGTATATCATACATGGAGAAAGAAAAGACCTTTAAGACAATACAAGATTGTAGGCTGTCTGTGTAATCAAGCAATAGCTGTTTGGATTGAGAACTCTTCAGCCATGATTAGATACCGATCTCATCTCCCCAATAGACCAATCAGCTGTGTCACATTTAAACTGAAGAAATTACAATGAATCATAATCACACTGAATGTTAGACTTTTTCATCTGCCAAAACCAAAAACCATTTTGATCTCCCCATGGTATAAATATGATGCACAATCCCACTATAGGACTTAGAAATTAATCCTTTGTGGTAGAAGTACTGTTGAATGTTGGAAATCTTGGTGTCACCAAAAGACTATTATTAGATCTGGTAATTGGAGATTTGGGGAACCAGGAGCTCTCCACGTTTGTATTTTACTCTGCCACTGTTAAACTTGATGATCCTGGGCAAGTCCTTGGTTGTGGAAATTACAGTGTCCCTCATACCCCACCTCACAGAGATACTAAAAATGTCTATAAAAGCATGTTTACCTCTTGGGAGATAGGCACTATGTAAATAAGGCAAAAATCTTTTATAATTATTCATTATAATATTGTTATTTCCGAGCATTTCTGGGAAACCATTTCACAGTCCACACCAGTCTATTATTCAGGGTTCCTTGCATATGTGTGGGGTATCCTGCTAATACACACATATTCAAAGTTTATGGATACATCAAATACATAGTATGTGTACATAGTATGTATGTGAATAGTTATACATAAATATATTTCTTCACAATATTTTAAACTGTGAAGAACTTTATCATACATAAACTTAAAACAAGAGGTGTCAGAAGACACAAATTAGGTGCATTTTACCTGTTGATGGTGACATAACCATTGCTTTAAAAATACTTAGACAGTACAATATTAAATTTATCCTCTGTTTTTGTTTATTCAAGCAACACTTAAGTCCACCTTTCAAAAAACACGTATTTTAGAGTTCATCTTTGGTAAAATCTTTGGTTTAAGGTAGTCTTTTAAAAGTTCATTCAGATTCTTACCTTGTGCTAATAAAGGTTGCAAGGCTGCCCCTTATATACATGCTGCAGCTCGATGGTAGAGAATTTTGATTCTGAAGAATTAATGTTTAAGCAAACTGTTGGCATGTGTAGGCATGTACCTTAGGCCACTTGTCCCTCCCCCGCTGAGTAACTACAGGGATTCTGTCAAATTAGATTTAATCTATAATTTAAAAAATCATTTATTGTGTGACCTACAGACTTAAAAAAGGTATAGTCAAAGACTTTTCATCCATGCTTCTAATAGTGGACTTTATTAAGATCTGCTTCTCTTTGGGAGAAATGATCAAAATTGAGGATTTTATCTATGTTTTCTGTTTCCCTGGAAAATAACAATTAATTGGATTTGGTGATAAAGATTGCCTTCTGTATAATGTTCAGATGATAGAAAATTGCAAAAATGTTAAGAACTTTCTTTACTCCACTAAGCCTGTTACTTTCATGATGAGAGCAGAACACCTTATTTTGTAGTCTTGATTAATTTGTTGCTACTGAGATCTGAATTTCTGTGGCACTAGTTAAGTAATTAAAAAAAAATGAACCCTCATTGTAAAAGAGGAAAGGAGATAGTGATGTAATAGGTTATAAACCATAATCGTGATTTACCTTAAGTTGGTATGACTTTTATGGGATATACAGTTATGATTTTGTGAATTCTTTACAGGATAGCATTATCTTTTTATATTTTGTTTCCTAAGATAAACAAATGCATAGTTTTATCTTATGGGGGTAGAAACAGCTTTTTGAAATAATACCGAAGACCTCTAAAAGATCATGTTGATTCTTAATTTTTGCCTTTTGCATAAGCCTCTTTTATAACATGTATCTTTTAAAATAATTATGTCTTTAGGAATATGTAACCAGAACTATGTTAGTATTGCTTATAAAACTTTAGTTAGGTTCAAGATATACATATATATGTCCATATACAGATATATATAGGTTCACATTTTGTCTTGTAAAATTTTATTTGAATAAATTCTTCGTGTAGTAATGGGAAACAAAATTAATAGTTCATATTGCCACTCACCATTTCTATATTTGAAAATAGCCCAATATGAAACTTAAAATTCTAAAATTAAACCAGCAGCCTGTTACAAGCACATTTTTTGATTGAGTTGTGGTTACAAACTTAGTAAATACAAAGAGGACACCAGTGGAAGACATCAACTTAGGGAACTTCTGAGTTAGTGGGACACTGTTGATTAATTAATGTACTGTATGGATTAAGTGATGCTTTAATTCTGATTTTACATTTTAAAGTTAAAATATGGGCATTATATAGGAGACTTAAGGGCATTATGTCAGCAAGCTAAAACATTTTTTTCTGTGCTTTTAATGTATCTACATGATCTGGGAGAAGATTCCAGCTTTCAGAGAGATAGCTGAGGGAAAAGGGAAACGTCTTGGGATGAAGCTTGTCCTTGTGGTGATGTTTTAATTACAGGTTAAAAAGAAGGAAATTGCAATGGATTAAATGTATAGCTTTCATATTTACATTTCAATAAATTACCATTGTAACTTTATGAGATGATTTATTTTATGTAAACATTGCAAAGCAAGGTGTAGAAGCTCAGCTAGATTTATTACTGTGCACGAGAGTAAATACCTATCAATTATTCTTTTTTTCAATTAAAGTTTGCTGAATGTACAAGAAAAGTTTATCACTTAGGATATAGAATTTTTTTAGGGGTTGAGGGAGGGGCTCTGTCAGGAAATTGTTACCTGTAAACAAAGACTGTCTTGATTTGATTAAAAAAAAAAACCAAAAACCCCAAAACCATAAAACTATTCTTGAACTAACGTGGAAAAATAAAATCACTATGGTTTTAAAAATTGATAGAAATATATAGTTGAGAGGATATGAATTATTTTCTCTAAACTGTAATTGATGACATGGATTATTATGACATGTTTCTGAGAAGTAATCTGTACATGGGGGAGGGGATAATAAATACAATTTCTAACCAAGAGTGATGTTTTGTGTCTGCCTCGATGTTTTTGAAAAAACATTTATAATTTAACTTACTACAAGTTAATCTTTCCCCTGACCATAGCAGGATCTCTCATGTAGATCTCTGATTCAGCATGGGGGGAAAATATATATATATGGCTTTTGAAAAGAAGATTTTAGTTTGTTTAGAAGTTTCATCAGGGGATGTTGCTCTTTTCTCTGATGCCAAAGAAAACCTGAATGATGGTTTGCTGTATCTGGTGGGCACTTTCTGAGGAGATGTGTGTGAGAGGATTGGTTGCTTCATCTGCCGTGAACCCACCAGCACAACCACCTCCTGCCCCTCGTAGTGGGCAGTACCCATGCTTCCTGAATCAGAGCTATCACTTAATTGGCGGCACGTGGAATATTTCTTAGCAGTAGCACCCTCCGCTTTTCTCTAACGTTAATTAATGTTAGGTGGGAGAAATGGGCTCCTTGGTCAAATTTGGAGACGCTGGGTCAAACAAGATTGCTGAAATGTCTTCCTGTTTTAAGCCATGTGAATTTTTGTTTGCTTGTTGTTTTGAGGGTCTTGCTGTATAGCGCAGGTGGCCTTGAGCTCATTATGAAGCCCCAGCTGGTCTAGGATTCCCAGGGATCCTCCTGCCTCCAGAGTACCATCGCTACAGGTGTGTGCCACCACACCTGGCTTAGCTTTGTGAATTCTTAACGGGTTAAATGGGCTGTATTTTTCCAAGTTTTTATCCAGGTACCCCCTCCTTTTTCTTGCCCTTGCACTGAGCATATACTGATTCTTTGGAAAGTTTCCTTTTAGAAGAAAAGACCTTGTTAAAACCTTATACCCCCTTGGGTGTTGATCAAATTGAGTGCATTATTGCACAGATTTATATTTTATTTTGTAGTCCCCCTTTTTTGCATAACCTAATAAGAAAACACTAAGCTCCAAAGAGATGTGGTTAATAGTAAGGGGAGTTGAATTCCCCTGAATTCTGGGACTGTTGGTAAAGACAGCCAATTAGAGCTGCTTTAATTTTCACACTTGGGCCTGTGTTAAGATTGGTTAGGTTTGCTTTACTTAGATTTCAGTCTGAAAATTTAGAAGCCACTATGCATGTAAGAGATGCTCTCTGGGACATGAGAGCTGGTTGCTGTGTGGTGGTCATTGGAAATTGGTGTCAGATCTGTTTAGGACAGCACTGAACGTGTGGGGTTCAGCCGGGAGGGGGGAATCTTGGAAGAAGCCTCGCTTCTCTCTGCAGCCTGTGGCCCTGTCCTCAACGTGTACACGTGCTCTCAGAAGTGGCATCTCTGATTTCATTGTAAGTTCCTAAAGAAGGTGGGCTGTATTATTTAAAAGATTCAGACACTGAATATGCAGGTGAATATGATCCTTAAATTCCTTCCCCATCTTTTTTTTTTTTTTTTTTTTTTTAGAGCCTGCAGAGTATGGTCTGTTAGTCTCTGAGATAAGGTGTGTGTATTTTGTGAGTTCTTATTTTTCTCTCCACAGCTTCATTAGTTTCTCCCTATTTTTAATTTTGTTTGTACATTTTAATTTGTCCTCCCACCCCATAATAGCCATTTCATTTCCTGTTCAGGTTCTGCAGTTAAATAGATGCAATAGAGCTGTTTCCAAAGTGGAAAGTACCAATAGGGGAGGGTGGAAGGGGTGAAGGGAGGACTGAGGCATGGAAAAAAATGAGAACCAAGATCTGTCATGTAAAGGTACAAGATCCCAATGATGCGTGTAACTGTACTGTGTTCTTAAAAAGTACCAATAAACTCAATGAAAAAAAGTGGAAAGTACCTACTTTTATGATGAACTTGTTCCCTGTAATGGCTGCTCTTTTTCTAAGCTGTTTTTAAAATTAAGATCTTTGAGCAATATATGAACGATTTAGTCATTTATTCATGCCCATGTTTATTGAACATCTGAGTATCAGGATGTTTAAAACTCCAAATGCAAATTGAGGTTCCATGGATATCCAGGGAGCCAATCCAGGCAGTGTTGGAGCAGTTGTGAGTACAAGGGCATCTTTAAGGTTGATTGCCAGGAGGTTCTGGTGTTCTAGTCACTGTGTATTGGTGCTAGCTTGTAGGGGCTCATGAGAACTGCTAACTTTCCAGAAGTTTAGGGGACTGACTATGAACAGCCATGTTTTAAAAATTAGGTTCTATAAACTTTCAAGGAAATGATTTGTCTTTAAAAAGTAGCACTCAAGGAAGTGGTGGTGCATACCTGTAATCCCAGCACTCGGGAGGCTGAGGCAGGAGAATCGCCATGAGTTTGGGATCAGCCTGGGCTACATAGACCCTGTCTCAAGAAAAAAAAATACTCAAAAGAATCACTTTCTAATTTTTTATTGTATTTTTGTCTACGTGGTGGGAATACTTTGTGATAATATGCTCCGGCACATCTTTCAGTGCACATCTCCTGTTGATGGCAAATTTTTAGCTCAAAATTGTCCAGGGAGAGAGGACTTATAGAAGTCTACAAATTCTGTGAAAACCAAGCTTTGATTTCTTGTTTTTATTGTCTAGACAACAAATTGATGGCTGGCAGTGGTGGGCCTAAGGCCAAGCACACTGGCCACGGGAGGACCACAAAAAGAGACTTCGTGGGCCCAGGCCGTCTATGCGTGGAGTCTGAATACCTGGAACTTGATCTAGAGAGGGTGGAAGAGGGGAATGCTTCTGTCCCCTCTGATAGCGAGGATACCTTCGCCTGTCACCTACCTGCCTAACTTCTCAGGGAGGGTTCAGCAATTCCTGCTAGTATAATTTATCAGAACCCACCACGCTCATCCATGGGCCACGTTTCTCGCTGGGCGGCATCCCTCCCCTGATTGACCTGGGTGTGAAGCTCAGGTTGGAATCTGTCATGGTTTATACCTAGGTGTCCCGCTAAATCCTCCAGCGCTCATCGGTGGGGCTTTTGGGAGATGATTGGATGCAGGTGTGATACTGGATTAGTCCATTGGTGGGTCTGAGCTGAGAGGCCAACGCGGGCACTGTGGGCGCGGCCTGGCTCTGTAAACACCCTCCGGCCTGGAGCTCGCGCTGCTTTTGCCCCGCCAGGACTAGCTGTGAACTGCTCCTCTGCCAGGTGGCCCCCGCGTCAGAGCCCCAGATTACGGACTGAAACCTCTGCAAACCGTGAGCTAGACTAAACGTTTTCTCCTTTAACGTGTGTTTGGTGTTTTATCTCAGCAATGAAAAGTGACTAAGAATCCTTTCCATTTTAGATCTAGGCAGCCGGGAGGACGAGGGCTCCCTATTTGTGCTTCCTAGAACCGAGTGAGTTGTGTAAAGCATGGTCTTCCAGCGGGTGTCTCCCGGGAGAACTGGTCAGAATTGCAGATTCTAGCCCCTCCGCTAGCGGGAGACTCTGGGTTAGGGCGCGGCAGTCTGGGTTTCAACAAGTCTCTCAGGTGGTTCCGATCCAGTTAAAAAACTGAGAACTGCTTTGGAAGAAAATAGCTTGGTTTGTTAATTTGCTGGGTGGGGTGGCTTAGACAGTAGAGGTTAGATTTCTCTTAGTTGTGGAGGCTGGAGTCTGAAATCAAGGTGGGGTAGGGTTCGTTCCTTCTAAGCGCTGACGGGGAAGGGGGAAGGATCTCATCCAGGCCTTGCTCCTTGGCTCACAAATGAGAGTCTTCGTCCTTGTTATTTTCCTTCTGTGTGTATGGATCCAAATTCCTTTCCTTCTAAGAACCCGTTATGGGGATCATGAGTATTGGTTGTAAGTATTGTTAACTTTAGTAACTCTATATGTGTTAAGTTTCTCCAGTTTAGCAGGTAGAGTGTTTCCTTTGTGGAATTCCTGAAAGTTACAGTTTCTTGTCTCTGACCTTTAGATGTGTGGTTGTCCGGGTTACTACTACTCACGGTGGGTTGTTTTGGTGAACCTGTTTGCTCTTTTCCTGTGTGACCTTTCAGTTACTATGGTAAACTCATCCCATAATAGTTTGTGGTTTTTTGCTTTAAAAGGCAATAAACGCCGGCAATAAACGTCGCCTTGATCAGACTCTTGTCTTGGCGTCCTTCCTTTCTCTCTGCCCCATCTCCACCCCGCTGCTCTTTCAGGTTTGAGGCACTGCTGGACAGTGCTCTGCGTCGCCGGCTCGTGACACCCAGTCAAATGGGATCAAGGCCTACTGTAATGACCTCATTTTAATTAACCATTTTTTGGAGACAGGGTCTTGCTTGCAGTTCAGGCTGGCCTTGCACTCACTATGTAGCCCAAGCTGGCCTCAAACTCACGATCCTCCTGCTTCAGCATCCTGAGCGTGGTGGTGCACACCTGGCTTAACCCATCACCACCACCATCACTACTTTTCCTCTTCCTCTCTCTCTCTCTTTCTCTCTCTCTCTCCTTCTCCCCCTCTCTCTCCTGGGGATTAAACCCTGGGCCTTTGCACGAAGCTCCATCCCCACCCCTGACATCTTCTTCCTCCTGGTCCTCCTCCTTCTTCCTCTCCCCCACCCTCAGTGGTCCTGGGAACCCAGGGCCTTTGCATGTAGCTCCATCCCCACCCCTATCCCCTAGAGGTGAAGATCTTAG